TCTGTCTGTCTGTCTGTCTGTCTGTCTGTCTGTCTGTCTATGAATGACACTCCTAAAGAATGACAAAACCTCCCCTCAACTCTTCTCTTTTAAAAAAAATCAGTAGAGCTTTTGTGACCTGCCTTTCAGGTTTGTTTCTTTTTTTCCCCCATAGGTGGAAACTTGGTTCCTTGAAACACTGCTGTTTACCACTGATTTGCTGGTACAGTGATTCGATTCAAAATAAATATTGCCTTTCACTTACTGAAAAATCTTGGCACATGACTATTTCAGTATTTGACAGGCATGAGAAATATCTAGTGCAGTCTTCCCATGCTGGCTAGGAATTCTTCAAATTATAGTCCCTCCAGCTCTGGTGTGTCTCAGATTGGGCAAGACTACGCTAGAGCATGTGAAATCAATTGTGTGCATTCACTTCTGTGTTGCAGGAAGAATTTTTATCATGTTTCCCCAACCACCATCCTAAATGAGGATTAATGCTATGCACTGGGAGTGCTAGTAATCTCTGGTTGTGCACCTCTTCTCAACAATTAGGCTTCTAGTGCATCCTCTTCCTCTTTTTCTACTGCTCCCCAAATAATTGTGTTCCCACCCACAAAGAAAAGGAGATTCCTTATCAGGAGGACTTAGAACTTTTCAGTTGAACAGACTGTGTGTATTCAGGCAAACATTAGCCAATGGTATAGCCTATCAGTTTTTAGAAGACGGGAAGCATTTGTCAACAAGGAATACACTAGTAGGGGAAAGCATTATTCCTTATTATTAAGATCAGCTAATCATACTTTAAAAATAGGCAGCTCAATAAATAAGATACAAATTTTAAGACCACCCAGTGAGCCTTCTGATACAACATAAGTATCATATCCCTTTGCAGCAGTTGAAGGCCTGTTGCCTGAACAATACCTCTTCCCAAACTATAAAGCCAACCTGCACATAACTACTGTGGATTAAAATACGGAGGAGAATTGGCCCTTGAACAGAGCATCAAAAGATTCGTTGAAGCACTGAAGTTCAGACATTGAGAGGGGCAGCTGGGGTTTGTACCTGGAATTTTCAGATGCAACTTGGACCACCTTCATAGGCTCAGGGCTGGCCAGCCTAGCCAGATCATGGAGGACTAGAAAAGTTGTACAGTTTGAGCTGGGACCCTATCTCAGCTGCAACACCTTCCTCTTCTGTGGATGCTTCTGTCTGCCTTTCAGTTCTGGCTTTCTCCCTTTGGCCTCTGGTTAATCCTTAAGAGAAGCACCACCACAGCTCATTGCATTTCTCATTTGCTCAGAATATTTCATAGGAGAAGAGAAAGGGAGGCCTTATAAATGCCATTCCATTGGTTTATTAGTGTAATAGAAAGAGTGTAACTGTGTTGAGAAAAAGCCAGGGTACATTTTTAGGTAAGCTTCAAGAAATTTGAGCTATGATAAAATAAAGCGGGAGGGGAATGCAGCAATTTCCTTTAAGGTGTGCTCCCTGCTGGTACATAAAAAGCTAATTAGTTTACTGAAGTAACTGTTAGTAGTAACATTTCAGCAAATATAAGGATTGTTAAACTGAGACCATTTAATTAATAATGGGCAGAGGAAGAAAGGAGAACAGCAAGAAATCTGACTCTGACTAACAAGGCATTTCAAACTGGAAATGAAAGCTATGATAAGAGAGAAAGTTAGGAGACTTAACAAAGCAGGATGCCAGGAAAAAAAGATTTATCCAAAGAAAGTGATGCAAACTACTTTTTTTTTTAAAAAAAACACACAGCTGGGAATGCTGTGATGTTAAATTATTCTCACAGAGCCTTGCTGACAGTGGCTAATAGATGGGGAAAACTCCTTAGAGGTGTAAGCCTGTAAACCTGTTCCTCATCAAGGAGAGTCATGTACCTCTTTCTCATGTAATCCAGTGTATACTACCATCTTTGACGTTGATAACTAATACTTGACACAATTTTATTTCTTCTATTTTGTCAGATTTGAATTAGTTCATGTTCTTACTTTGTCCTCAACATTTCAATGGCATTTTCCTGTTCATAACTGCAGATTTCATCACAAATGTCAGAAAATCAGATAAACTGCCTAGCAAAGATGGAATTATTTTTAATTAGCCTAAAAGCTAATAATAATAATAATACCTAAACCATACACCATGTTTAATAATGTAACTCAGAGTTGGGCAATCTATTATCCTTCAGATGTCTTTGACTACAAAGTCCATAATATACAGAGATTGTGAGAATTTTAGACTAAAACATATGGAAGGCTTTAAGAAGCTTAATCCTGATTAAAAACATATCTATAGCAAAGATTGATCTGAGTTAAAATCTCAAATGAGAATGTTTTAAAAACTATATTTATATGAATTATTATGGATTACTTCCATCTATGCAAAGACATTTCAATATAGATACAATATATAATATATTTTAATAGTAAAAACATAGCTCTAAGAAACACAAGACCCAAAATATATTCTATTGTTTGATCCACTTTCTTGAACAAAGAAATGTTTAAGATTGTTTTTAAAGAACTAATTCAGGATATAGAAAACTAACTATTAACATCCTATCAACATCATGCTGCAAAACAATTTAGAGCAAACTTTCCACTGAAGATAGAAAGCAAAATAAATGAAGAAAAAGGACCCAGAGGAAAAAATCGAAAAAAAGCTCCCACCATAAGTTAAATTAATGCTTGCCCCAAGAGGTTATGTGCATCATGTAGCAATAAATATACCATGAAGAGAGGAGATTAAAGGAAAAGTTCAAAAAGTAATCAAGCCCCCAGAAGACAGCATAGGGAGAATGCGATTTAAAACACTATGGAGCTTTTGCTTAGCTGATTTAGATTTGCAGCATTCATTTTCTTTCATTGTGGAGTGGATTTAGAAAAAATTAATTTCATGGAATAGGTCCATTGAATGAAAAATATATGAACACATTGATGAAACCTAAAGGTGGAGCTTCAGCAAGTTGCTGTCTCCTGTGACTTAAAGGGAATGGCCAGAGATGGTACGTGGCATAGCTCTGAACACTGCAGAGCTGGGAAGGAACTACATGTCAGCTACAGCAGGGAATAAACTATTTGTAAGCTCTGCTCCAGTAAAAAAGGGATTGTAAATGCAAAGTAAATAATTGGGGAAAGGAAGGAAAGGGCTTTTTCAATGGTGGCACCCTGGCTATTAAATTTACTTCTGAGAAAGGCTCATCTGGCACCTACGTTAATCTTACTGCAACACCAAGTTAATATTCTGTTTTCCCAACCATTTCCATCTATTCCAGCTTGAAACTGTTGCTGTTTGTTTTTTATGCAGTGTTCATATGCTTTATGGTGGAATCTATTTTAATGGATGTATTTTTACATTCCATTCCTTTTATGAGCTGCCAGGAAAACTTGATTATAGGCAGCCTATAACATGATAAATAAGCAGGACAGTTAGAAAATAGGGGAAGTAAATAACGGCTGCCCCCTCAACAATATATTTATGTGCTGAATGCATGATCTTATTCCTATCTCCTTTCCTTTGGGAGCAACTATTAAAATGAGAATTATACAAACGATAAATAGTATATTATATTACTATTCATTTGATTTCCATTTTATGCTCTCTGTAGGTTCAGTCAGACAAAATCTCCCTTGCTTCCTCCTCTCTGATAAGAGTAATGCCAAAGGACCATACCAAGGTCCAGACACTAAATGAGCAATACAAGTAGGAATATATAAGATCAGTAACTGAGCTTTGAAATAATCATTTTTTTAAAAAAGAATATTCACAATGTTACTGAAACTGTAAGAGAGGGTTGCTGTATTTGCATGTCATGTTAAGCCAGAATTTCTGAGAAAACTGGTTTCTGTAAAAGGGCAAGTATCCTGGTATTTGCTACTCAGCTGCTCCTTCTTGCCTGCTAAGCAAAGTGTGAACTTACATGGTTTGTTTATTATTGACATGGAAACACTTACAAAGCCAGAGTCAGAAGCTATGGTTTATTCTTGGCTTTCTGATTCCTGTTCTGCCTGGGAGAGAAAAGCCAGGGCTCTTGACTGACACATCAGAAAGGGGCTCTGCAGTTGATTAAACCACTCTCACTGGCAAGAGGGTTCAACAGGCATTATCAAGGAGCACATGCCAGAATATTTGTTTGTTGAAGTTAAATCAGAATCCTCAGAGTTTCACATCAGACTGAGTTCTGCCATACCACAATCCATTTCATTTGGCAACATCTACACAAGCTACATAAAGAGGGAACCTACAAATATAGAGCAGGTTCATTGTTTGAGCCTTTCCACTCCAATATGTGACACTGGGGATGGAACCATTATAGCTTTCTGTATAATTCTGTGATTAGAATTGTGTAACAGTTGTGTAACAGTCTGTGGTGTACTACTGTATTTGTTACATGTCAGCTCTAAATTATCCTACTGTGGTCTGTATTGTTGTCTTCTCCCAGTGCCCTCCAGATGTCACTGAACATCAACTCACCATTGGCCATGATGACTGGATCTACTAAGAGTATAGGTAAGCAGTAACATGTCCCCCATCCCAACCCATCTCATTGTAAAAGATAGAAAACTAAGACTTGGTTATGGTCACATAACTGTTACAAAGTCAACTGCAATTCTCCAGAAAATATACCAGATTGAATCTCTTGTGAGTTTGGAGTCCACCTTTCCATGTTCATCCACAAACACATCCATCTGTAAGTTGGCATCATTATCATGAGCTGAAGAATAGTTAGTTATGACTCGCCCAGGAATTCCTAGACATCTCAGAACTATACAAATAAAAGAGAGTAATGAAATGGTTTAAGACAATGTAACATTACAGGATAAGCTGAATACATATAACCTTTGCCAGTTTTCTCCAACCCAGTACCCTCCAAGATATTTTGGGACAACTCCATAATTCTCAGCCAGATTCTGGGAGCTATCGTGCCAATATTTCTGGAGGATACAAGACTAGGGATACAAGACTAGGGATATAAGCTGGTTAATGCAATTTTCCAGATGGTCAGAAATATTTACTGATTGCTCTTGGAATTATTCTAAGAAGGTGAAATAAAACATGGACAGGCTAAAGTTTCTTTTTCCAATATTGAAGATTTCATTAGAGGTATATTACTTAGAATTTAATCATTGATATAATTTAAGTTCATCGGACTAAGGGCAGATCAAACACTTTATGGTAATCTTGAATTCTGTGGACCTTGATGTCCTCCCTCTTTCTGTGTGTGTTTTTAAGACCAAATGGTTCTTTCAACATGGAGCTGTGTTATGAAGTCATGATGGCTCTGGGAGCAGCTCAGATTCCAATTCTTAAATTAATCCTGGGTATCCCCAGATTGCCAAAAATCTACTTTATATTAGCAACTCAGCAAAGTCTATTCTAGCTGGCAATGATTTTGGAGTGCCTTAGGTTGAGGTTTTTCCCATCACTTACTACCTAATTATTTTAATCAATCCAAAATATGCATTTTTCTCTGTGTTATTTTTAGCTAAGAAATATGTAAATTGTTCCTTGAAATGGGTGTGTACAGAACATATATTTAATTATTAGCAGAAAACAATGCAAACAATGGGGGAGGGGACTGTGATCCTTGAAGGGTTTTTCTTATTTATTTAAGAGGACAGAATATGTATTCCTAATAAATATATTTCCCTTACCATTTCTGAATGGCTTCCTGGCAGCAGTGGATAAATTCCAATACAAAAACAGATTGTGCAATACATCGTTCAATCTGATATGCCTAAATGAGCATAAATGAACACGGGCAAGCTTTTTCAAGCCATATTTCTAAAATAACTTACTTCCTTTGGCACCTAGATGACTTCATTTGTTGGATATTTTTGCTGTGTGGACCATAACACTCTTGCATATTCTAGTGAACATATGCAAGACAAACCAAGTTGATGACATGCTGGCCACTCTTACTTCTTTTTGTTCTGTGCTAACATGGGCCTGGTAGTTCAGGGCCAATGACAGTATTGAGTAGTGTCACTTTTTTCAAACAAATGAACATGGAATGCATCTTCATGAGAGGAAGTCAGAGACAGGAGGGATTGTGGTACAAGACTACCTAGAACTGGATTGGGCCAGTATGGACAGCCCCCCGCCCCACTTCAACCCAGTTTAGCCCTCACAGTTCATTACAATGGAAAGAAACACCAAGGGGTATCATTAAGTTCCCATTAAAACTATGGTAGATAGCAGAAGACATTAACGCATTGCCTGGCGCAGTTCACATCACTATCTCTATAGCAATGAGCTTATCTATACACAGGGGTTGTTTTTTGAAGTGAATTTATACGCCACCTTTCCATCAAAGAATGGTGCTCAAGGCAGTGTATATTATATCTTTATTAACTAGACTTGGGATTGGGTACCTAAGGCTTGGCTATTCCCATATGAATCTAGGATGCAGGTGAAAGCCTCTTCTTTGGTACTTTCGTTTGTTGGTTATACAGGAGCCACTGGAGTCATTCAGTTACCTAGCTTTGTTCTTGTATAAACTGACTGGCGGGGGACACAAAGTTTCAGGCAACCTTCCTTCCAGAGCTCTGCTAACAGGAATTATGAGCCCCTCCATTATATTCCCAAAGCATCCATTCCATTTCCATGAAATATTTTGTTTAATTGTCAACTGCATCTTCATCTTGAGGAGTGAAAAAGATAATATGTTAGCTGCCCTTAACATAGTGTCAGCACTCCACTCTCCCAGTCTCATAGGTATGACCCACTGCTAATTTAAAGGGAAAGGGAAGGAAAGTCTGATGAAATAGCTGCCACACTGTGGAGTGTGATGGAGAACCAGAAACCACACTGGGGCTCCTTAAAAAGCCTGCTAAGACCTTTGAGATTTGTATTTGACATCCCTGCAGTAATTCATGTTTTGTAGCCTATGATGGCTACAGTGCTTCATGCAGAAGAGTAACACTGCACATTTATTTTAATGGTTTGATGACAAATTACCTGGATACATCTACTACCACGTGCACCTATTGATTATACTTAATACAAATGCCTTCCTACACTTCCAGCACACAAGCCCTTGGGGCTCATTGGAAATAATTCAACTGACAAGTTCAAGATTAATGGCTTTGCTCTTTCTTTTTTGGGATGTTTTAGCATATTTAATAGATGACTGTCCTCAGTTTTTCAATATGGTAACCTTGGAAAGCGAAATTATTGGACTGGTAAAATGTTAGAAACTTTAAAGCACTGAAAACTGAAACCAGAGCTAATTGGTATAGGACAGTCTACCTAACCTGATGCTTTTCAGATGCATTGTGATCACAACGTCCAGAATTCACACTCAGCACTGGACATGGTTGGTTGAGAATTCTGGAATTTGTGGACATAGCACATCTGGGCAGCAGAAAAACAATTGGATGTCACCTGTTAATATAAAGTTTGCACTTTTCTGTTTTCTCCCATCAAGTGACATACTTTCAGCTTCCATGTTTTCAACTTCCTGTCTGCCTGTTCAGAATATTTGCCTGCTCTTAGGCTGAGTGTCTAACAGCATGAAAGACGTAAAAATCATGGACTTTTTATCTGGTTGGTTTATATGCTTCATTTCTTGCAGTTCCTGTTCTATGGAAATGGATATATGAATATATTCTACATCAGTCTTTCCCAACCAATGAAAGTGCTGGCTGCAAATGCACACTGAATCTGATATATCTAAGCAAAGCGATTTTCCTTCCTGAGATATCAAAGTAATTTGCATCTTCTTTTCTTATTTTCTAAAACACTTCATATAGCAGTGAAGAAGCAAACAGAACAGGATTGTTTTAAGAAACTTAAAACTGTTTAAAATCCACTGCATAACATATTTGAACACATGGCTGGATCTTTATCTAAAAATATGTATGCAAATCTACTCAGGATGCCAATGGGAGTGGGTGTCCCCCACTGAATTAAATGGACTAATTCTTCATTTGACAATTGTACCATGGAAGATTATTAGAGTATTATAGATTAGTTTTCATATACAAGTACAGGGGAGGGCACATTAATCATATATATCTATATATAGATATCTGGCAGCATCTATGAATACTGGCAAGAATATAATAGGAAGGATAGATTTGCATGCTGGAATTCTGCCAGTTGGGTAACAAACAAGAGTGTTTTTTACTGTATGTATCTTCCACAGGAGGAAATATATATCTAAACAAAAATGTACATTCCAACATCTTCACTTTCAAAAATTTTCCAGCCATGTGTTCAGATATGTCTGAGATAATTAGGTCTCTGCCATATCACTTTACAAAAACAAAGACAAAGATTTCCAGGTTTTACCTCCTAAATTTTAGTATAAGTAGGTTACACCCATGTTATTCAGCAGGTAAAACATCAATAGACTATTGAAGCAGATTGGAGTTGGTACAGAAGAAATTAATGGAAATCCTGCCCTGCAAAGAGGGGTACTAACATAATATGGTAGGTAGAACATAATGCTTCCTTTCAGTGGGGAAAGCCAATGGATGTGACCCATTGCCCATTAAGTAGTTATATCTTTTTATTCATTTGTGAGTACTAGAGTACTAGATTTAATTTTGAGGAAGATAATTGGTTAATATTTTAGCTGGCTTGCTAGCTGGCCTTAATGAAGCCATTCTCTCTTAGATATTGTTTGTAATATTAAATGAAGTAAGTTTATAACTCAGTGATGCACTGAACATGAATACATGTTTCCTAGTAATACATAATACGACAAACAGATGGAGTGGTTTTCTTTAATGAAGGAGTAAAAATTATTTTTGTCTGCATTTTGACATGAACTTTCCCAGTTCTCATTTCCTGAACATTTCTTAATCAAAACACATATTACCAAATCTGTACTTTTTCAGATTTCAGATTTTTAAATGCCCAGGAGAATATACCAAAGTAATAACTGGAAGGGGGAGACATGCTGTGAAGCTACAAGCAGGCCTTAACATGGAAAGGAGGGCAGGCCACTAGCTGACTTCCATTCCTTGCAGATTGAAGTCTAACCTAGGAAATGCAAGTGACAGTGAAAAAGGCCCTCTAACCCAAAAGTCTTGCTCTTCAGTGCCAAGTCATTTGATGGTTAAAAAAAAACAAAACTAGTATCCTGGATTTAGTATTGGATGAAAATGCTGTTCAGGCATGTGTTGCAGAGAACCAACTGAAAAGAGGAAGTTCATCTCTACCAACTCTGTGTGTGGATTGGGGAGTGGAGACATGAAATGGTCCATGACCTGTAGAATTTCACTTTACTGGCCAGATGCTTCCTCTGACATACTGTCAATTTTGAGTGTATGATGCTGCATTTCAATGGCCAGGAAAATGTGCACTGTCCATCCTGCTGCCTATCGGTGTCACTATCAAGATAGGGGTTTTTTTTGGAAGGTTCCTTGTCATGGAAGGTTTCAGTGTCCATGTTGAATCAAGGTTGCTAATTCAAGGGCATCTCAGAATTTAATGTCACCTGATCCGTCCTAACTAGTATCTGATCTACCTGTCTGGCAGGGTGAAGTTGATATTCTGTTCAGGTAAAGCTGATGCTTTGAAAGTAGAGGAGCTCTGTGCAGTTTCATTATCATGGACAGATCATTCCCTGGTCAGTTTTAGTCTGGCAATCAGTTCTTCCTGTTAGATTATGTCTAAAAGATAGTTCTGGGGGATTTGTTTAACACCTCAGCTGTTGACATTAGAAGCTTTGGAATAAGGTGCCAAGAGTATGCTGATTCCACCCACTCCAAGAAAGCAATTGTTGAATGTTGCATACATTCAGTAACAGGCTAAATCAGGGAGAACAATCTGAAATTAAAACCCAGACAAGGCATATTGGTAAATATAAAATTAGACTTTCAGTTAAAGACTTGTGGGGGGGGGTGGATGCAATTGCCCACCCCCTAAAAGAATATGGCCACAGTTTGGGAGTGCCTTTTGATTCTAAATTCTTGCTGGATATACATATGATGCAAAGAATGTACTTATACCATTCTGGCTAGTGTGTGAGTTGCAACAATTACTGAGCCAGTTGGATTTTGGTGACAGTGATCTATGTCTTGGTGACATTCTACCTTGACTATTTAACATACTGTACTTTACACCTTCATCCTTGAAATGAGTCCAGAAGTTGAAATTGGTGCAAAATGTGACAACTAGGTTGATAACTGCTACAAGGTCAGAAATCACAGGATGCCTGTACTGAAAGACCTGTACTGATGGCCAAACTTTTGGTGGGCAAAATTTAACATCAACACCTAAAATTTTTACTATCAACCATTTGGCAATCAGTGCAATTTTAAAATTCTAGTTGGCTTATGGACTATCTGTGGGAATATCTTTCCTGTTATGAACATGACTGGCCATCAAGTTCTGTGGAAGATGCACTTGCTTGTCAAAAGTTTAGTTCTTTGTCCTGCAGGAGACAGTTTTCTACATAATTCCCATCCTATAGAATGCACTTCCTCTGTATTTAGGAAATTTGTAAAGAAGCATTTTTTTCCCACTGGGCTTTTAATTGTTTATTTATTTTAAGGGGCTTTTTATACTTTCTGTATTTTGCATTTTAATCATGGTTAGCTGTTCTAGGTACACATCTGAGTAGAGATCAATCAATTAATAAGGGCATAAAATGCACTTAGACTGAAGAAAATTGCTTTTTAAAATGGATGTTAGAAAAAGTGTGCATTAAATTATATAGATTGGGGGAAATTCATATTCCTTATGTATATATGGAGATGCACATGGATTTTCATACAGATAATTTTTAGAAACCATAAACTGATGTTGAAACAGGCCAAAAGGGACTTATGATAGGAAACACGGGAAACTTTACTTCTTTGCCTGACATTTGTAGGAATGAAGAGATATAAAACAGAGCAAGCTTTTGGGGGAGAAGGAAAGCAGAAATATAGCTGCTGGTTTTTTTCTTTTTCTTTTGATGTAGTTAATTCCAGGCTTAGTGTGCATTACAATTCCAGTAGTACAATGTATATGAAGCAAATTATTTTTTAACAGGTGTAAGGAACTTTGTAACCCTTTAAAAGTTGCTGGACTATGATTTCTAGCATCCCTCGCCATTGACATACTTTCTGGAACTACTAGAAGTTATAGTTCAGCAACATCTAGCAAGCCCCAGTTCCTCTGCTCTGTTCTATATAAACATTACTTGTTATATTTTAAAAAGAGACTAATTATACTCTTGGTATTAGATACAAGTTAATAATTTTAAATATCAGAAGGTCCCGGGGCGGGGGGACTTCTTTGGTTCATTCTGAAAAGAAAGGGCATCAGTATATTAAAAATACTATTCTTCGTTGCACATTTTGTCTCATACTTACAAGTATTGAAAACGCCAGCAAAGACCCAGCACTGCCCATACCGCACTGGCTGTTTAGTACTGTAATACTCCAATAGAATGTCTACGCTTCCAGTCCAAGCTGATGGGGCCACTCCATAATCATAAACGTTGTCCCAAGACCCATAAACTACACCCTCATCATCTTTAGAGTTGATCTGAAGAATAAATGAATAAATTGAGTCATTGCTGATGTTAATCTCTGAGAATATTTATTTTGAATGTTGATGCAAAAAGGATTCTACAAGTTTGCAAGGAGGATTGGATTGGATATTTATTTTGATGCTGAAGGTGGGAAAGAATGCCTGGTAATGGTGAAAGAGGTTGAACTGACCCAACAGCTAAAATAAGGTGCTTTACAATAGAATTTGAGAGGAAACTTAGTCTTAAAACATATGTACTATGCACTGTGAGCTAAGAGACAGCTCCACATTTTCTGTTTATGGTAAAATCCTAAAATAAAAAATAACTACTCAACAAAACATTTTGCCTAATTGATTCTTATTGGCTCCTAAGGCCAAATCAGAGTTAGACTCTGACTTGGCAGGCCCTGTTGAGTTAGCTTGTCATGTAACCTAGAAAGTGTTTGATCCTGTGATTCCTGAGAACACGGACAGGATCCTCAGGACTGTTAGTCCAGTCACCTAGTTATGAGATCCATGTCCCTCCTGGTTGGTTAAGACCTCCTGGGAGGTGACATGCAGTTGAATCCATGAAATGGTAAATTCCTCCTTCACAGAGGAAGCAGTACTGTGCTTCCTCCTCAAAAAACTATTGCTAGATCCAATGGTTCTGGATAATTTTCATCCAACCTCCAGTTTTCTCTTTTGGTGTAAGGTCATGGAGAAGGTGATTGGATTACAGTTCCAGAACCCTGGAGGAAACAGATTATCTGGAGCTGTTTCAGTTGAGTTGCAAGCTGGGGCATAATATGGAGACAGTGTTGATCATACTTGTTGATGAACTCTGGTGGAATTGGGATGGGGGTGGTCCTGGTTCTTCTTGATCTCTCAATGGCTTTTGAGATCATCAACCAAGATATCTTTCTGGACTAGCTACAGAGTATGGGATTGGGAGTGTTGCAGTGGTTCTTCTTTCTCCATGGCCAGTTCCAGTCAATGATAACAGCTGGATAGAGGTCCAGCCTAAATCCCTTAGTTTGCAGGCTCCCTAAGGCTTGACATTCTTGCCTCTCCTGATAATATTTACATGAAACTGCTGGGTGAGGTCATCCATCAACATGAGATCTGGCATGATCAGTACATTGAAAATGCTCAGTTGTTTATCTCAAGTTATGCTGTTGAAATCATGTTTTAGTGCTTGGAAGCTGTTTGGTCTGGAAATGGAAGAACAAGCTCACATTCAACCCTGACAAAACCAAGTGGCTGTGGGTGCATGGTTCTTCTCATACCAGTGATTACCCTGTTTCAGGTTTCAGACACATACACAGCTGCCAAGTAATGGTAAGTAATTTGCTTAAGGCTGAGGAGACAAACATCAGGCAAGCAAAGGAGCATACAGACCTCTTGATCCTTCAAGTCCTTAAATGATCTTTAAAAACCTGGGTGAAGTAAGTAAATACACCACAGCCTTCATTTAATCCTGGGAGCTGTAATTATGTGATGGGAAATATGATATCCAATAGCAGCTTTCCCCACCTGGTGTGTTGGATTTTTTTTTTCTAAAAAATCCGTTCAATCATGTCCAATTCTCAGAGACAGCCTGGACAAGTCCTTGCAGTTTTCTTGGCAAGGTTTTTCAGAAGTGGTTTGCCATCGCCTCCTTCCTAGGGCTGAGAAAGTGACTGGCCCAAGGTCACCCAGCTGGCTTTGTGCCTCAGCGGGACTAGAACCTATGGCCTCTTGTTTTCTAGCCTGATG